GCTCTGGGCCTAAGGCAAAGAGCACACCATGCGGGAAGGACCCAGCAGCAGAAAGCTGCTCCCCTCTTGGTGGAGTCGGGAAGCAGAGACAGAGAGCAAGGAGGAAGGAGTCTCAGGGACGATGCACCCTTCCAGGACACGTCCCCAGTGACCCACCTCCTCCAGCCGAGCCCTACGCCCCAGTTAGCAGTCAGTCAGTCCATTCAAACTAGGATGGACTGACTAGAGTCTAGCCCTCATAATCTAATCAGTTTCCCTCTGAATATTCCTGCATTTACAGGTGCCTTTGGGGGACACCTTGTATTCAAACCATAACACCTTCTACCAGAGGTACCCAGAGGCAGATAGCCCGTGATGGATGTGCCCCAGGGAAAGGTGGTGACTGTGGTCCCAGAGCTGCACTTGGCTTTGACTGGGCAGCCCCTGCTCCAGCTCCTTCTCGAGGACCTCCAATGACCCCGGAGGTCCTCTTCCCCTTCCTGAAGGAGGAAGGGACCAGGTTTAATGGTGACAGAAATACCTGCACAGCCAGGAAGAGCCCAGCCCAGGATCTTTCTGGGGCAATGGCATCAGTTGATCTCTCCTGGGCCCTTTGTCCACTGGCATGGACTGGGATGGACTGAGGGCTGTTCCATTTACCATCAAGAGTTGTATTTTTGTATCATCCTCCCTTTTATGCCAATTACATGTGCGTTGGATGGTGTGATGGATTTATGTAGCATTCAGTCTGTAAATAAAGCCAAGTAACCAGGAGTGGGCAGCAGTCCTTATGGGGGAGGGGGTCTTCCAACCCCAGAGGAATCTAGAGGGTTCTTGAAGCACCCAAGCAGAAGAAGTTCCAGGACTGACCTTCTCAGAGAAAGGCTAGAGCAATTGGAGGATTTGCTCTTGACCACGCAACAGGTGGTGAAGGTACTTCCTTAACGACCGATGTTGTTGGGGAGGCCCACAGTTGACCGGCCTCTTCAGGCTGGAGTATCCTCTAGGCAGTGGTGGACTCCATGTTTATCACTAAGGATTAACTGCAATCCTTGGAAACATATATTTTGATTTTGGCCACTTACTTCTCTGGATCAGGCTCCTGGAGTCCTGGAGTGTTCCGGAAGAGTGGATCCTTCTTCCAAACAGACTTAAGTAAGAACCTTATTGGGGATTAAGATTCTTTTCTCTCCAAAGAAGGGGTGGTAGAAAAAGTCCATCTGGTTTGGACTGAAGGTGGCAGAAGCCATTAAAATTCCTTTCTTATTCACTCGTATTGCTTAGTAAGACAGGGGCTCATCTTCCTGTTTATACAACCCGTCTGTGAGTTGGCCAGAGAAGAGTGGGAGAAATCTTCACACAATACACTGCGGCTTCCCTCCAGCTGGTACAACCAAAAGAGAGCCAGAATCTGACCCTCTTGGCTCCTCGCTTTTCTGAAAAACCTACTTCTGGCAGCTGGTGATTCTGCAGCTCCATTCCTGGCATTCATCTGGCAACACAGTGGCCTTTGATGGCATTCATCCTGGGGTCATGTGGTGCCCAGCGTTCTGGAGAAATGGTGGGATTTCAATGCCATTTGCTTCAACAGGCATCAGAATATTGCTGGATTAGACATTAGATGCCAGTGCTGTGAGGTAACAGGTCAGGACATTCCGGCTCCTTCATTGTTAAGCATCCCCTCCACATCCCTCCAAAATGATGGTTCAGTCTCTCCACGGACACCACCAATGACAACTCACTAGTATCCAAGACAAGTAACTCCAGGGTTTGGCAGAAATATTAGATCCTAATGAGCCAGAGTATCCACTGGCCTTGACTGTGGCTGCTGAAGCCATGTGGTCTTTTGGATACTGGGATTTGAAGACAATTCTCATATCCTACTCTCAGTGTCAAACCTTCCAAGCTGGTATTAGGCAGGGCTGGGGTATATTGCATCCACAAACCACCCGCCCCATCGCCATGCCTCAAAACAATGGGGCACGATCATGGGGTATAGCTCAGTGCTAGAGGTGTGCTGAGCAAGCCCAAGGCCCAGCTTCAAAACAAAGTTTATCTCTTGTTCACGCAAAGTCCCATGAGAGGCAAGTCTTTCCCCAAGTGACCACAGTGATTTAGGATCCTTCCGTGAAGTGGTTCCATCTTCTTGGGGTTTTCTATTCCCATCCACACAGGAGAAAAGACACCAAGGAAATCCCCCACAGAGGTTCATATCCAAGTCTAGAAGATGCCACACCAGCAAGAGCTAAGACTCTGGACCGAGACCCCACCCCAACTACTTCCCCCAGGTACACTGTATAGAGAGAACTGGAAGTTACCCCAGACCCATTCCCTATCTACCTGTGTTTTACAGGAGTGTCAAATCCAGTTACTCACGTTCCACTGGCCAGATCCCAGTCGCATGGCCCCAGGTTAACTGAACTTCAAGGGAGCCCGGGACAGGTAGTTCTCCTGTGCATTGGAGGAAGAGAAGGCAGAATTGGTGAGAATCTGGCCAGTCTTGGACAGACAACTCTCTTCAAGTCACTGCCACTTAACAGGCTTTGAGCTCTTACTTTTCTGTTCCTTCATTTGAACAAAATCCACTTCTTCAAATATGACCCCCAGATCTGAAGAGAGACCAGGTGAGTCTGACCTGCCCAGAGGAGGAAAGGACCAGGTTCCGTTTCTTTACTTTTGACAGCATTCCACGTGGCCGATGTCTGTTGAGTTCATGCAAATTACGGGTAAGCCACATCTTCACCACCCTGCCTAGAGAGCAGCGAACGTTATTGTGGGGCCAGCGGAAGCCACCTGTATGAGCAGGAGTAGCAAATGCAATGAGCTGGACCAAGGCTGGCAGTGAGAAGGACCCATGCAAGGAGGCAAGAAGGGACCCCAGAGGAATGCCTTTCCCAGCTGAGCACTGGGCATCACTTGGTCAGACAACATCAAGAGGACCAAAGACCCCCAAGCCCTTAGAGGGCTCACTTGCCTGCAAGTCCCACTTCCTGCAGGGGCTGTATGGGATGCACTATCTCAAGGTCCCCAGGTCCCCAGCTTGCCTTTGAACATCCAGAGAATCCTGTGTACCAATCACCAGGATTCCCTCCTCACGACACTCCTGGAAATGCCCAGTGATGCTCAGATGTCCCAAAGTCAAATCTGGGTGGCACCATCTCTAACCCTACAGGACCATTCCCTGTAGGTCGCCTCTTGTCCCCGTCACCTGTTTCTCCAGGCTGCGGCCATGCTTGTCTTGCCATTAGAGACATAGATACCAGCCTTCCCTCAAGTAGAGACAAGACTAGGACACGTTTGAGTAAAAGCAAGCGAAACTTTACTAAAGATCTGAGCAGGAATCATTGTGGAATGGGAAAGTCTTAAAACTGCATCTTGGAAAGCAGAGCTCCAGAGGTCCTTGGGCTGACCCTGCTAAGGGGTCTCCTCCTGACCCTCCTTGCATCTCAGCCCCTGCTGCAGAGCCTGGGCTTGCCTCTCCCTGCAGGGGACATTGGGATGCCCCACCCAGAGTCTAAGACTCCTTGGTCTTCTCTTCACTCAGCCAGGTCTCAGCCTCTTTCCCAAATTTCTGCCCACAGTGAGGATAAACTAATCCATAGTTAAGCCTCAGCCTGCTCCGTGTTGGAATAGAATTCCATTACTACTGCAAAACCCAAGGCCCAAGCGTGTCTTCCCCCAAAATGTGATTCAGAAGAACATGGGCATCTTGTCCTCTTATAGCCATCAAGATTTCAAAAATGTCAGGGTACCGTCTTCATCAGAGCCTCCCACCCGGCCCCCCATGACATGGAACTCTATGTCCCAAATCAAGGACAAAAATTATAACTGGAGGAAAGGTGGCCAGGGAATTTGGTGTGGGTTCACAGAGAGCTGTGAGGTCACAGGTGGGGACTGAGTGCCTATTCTGGGTGCATCGCCTGATGCCACACCAGCAAGAGCCAAGACCCGGTAGGTAGAACCCCTGCAGAATGACAAAGGAGGTCTGGACAGAGACCCCACCCCAACTAATTCCGCCCAGATACACTGTATAGAGAGAGCTGGAAGTTACCCCCGACCCATTCCCTATCTGCCTGTGTTTTACAGGAGTGTCAAGTCTGTAAAAAAAAAGGAGGGCTAGTTCCTTCTTCACGATGAATGCACATTAAACCAGCATGTTGAATAAAATGAAATTAAACAGGCCCAACAAACACTGGGAGGCCTCTCTGGTGGCCAGATGCCCCTCCCCGCAATCTGAATGAGTCAGTGTCACTCAGCAGGGTCCCACACAAGAAGCTGTCCTGGTCCAAGATGTGAGAGTATAATGGGATATGGTTGGTGACTCAGTTTCTGACTTTGTTGGAAAATGTGCAGCTGGAGTTGAGAGAGGGGTAGGGTGGGCTGATCAGAGCTGTCCAGGAGGACTCTGACAGGCCTGCGCCCTGGGCCCTGAGCACCCTTGGGCTCCAGGGGTGAACTGCCCTATGGTGCAGGGAGGCCAAGGGGCCCCGCTCAGGGTGGGGATGAGGAGATAGGGGGGAGGTGGCAGTGTCAGGGGTGAAGAGGACAAGACAACCTGGGAGGTGATGGCTGGAGGAATCTCTTGCCTGAGTAAACAGAATGCTATTTGAAAAAGAGCATTTTAAAATTATAAATATTTGGGTGGGTGGTGAGTAATCCTTCCCTAAAACCCCAAAGCAGTCCGTCGTTCACTGGGGTCCTCCTAAATGACGGGCAAGAAGCTTCTCTGGGTGGACTTGGCATGGGAGCTTGGAGCAGCCGGTGTGGAGGAGGGTTGAGAGAATGTGCCAGGGTCCCAGGAACCAAAGCAGAGACTGGGAGCCCAGAGAAATGTCCCTCCTGGTACTATCCCCTCCTGGGAAGCAGACTTGCAGCTTCCTGGGCCCGTGGTGACCTTGTGGCTCACCCAGGACCAGTGTTGACTTGCAAGGCTGCCGTGGGAAGAAGCTGGGGGTCTCGGGGAACTCTGGATGCAGGCTGGGCCGCTGGGGAGGAACTTGGCATGCATGTGACATTAAGGATCACACATGTGCCTTGGTGGTGTCCACCAGCTTCTAATCATCTCCGTGGACACTGTGGAAGGGGAGCCCGTCCACCTCCATGCCTAAGACACCCAAGCCTCCACTCCAGACTCTGTGCGGCACCAGGATGTCCAACATTTTTGCTTCCTGGAAAAAGAAAAAAAATGAGGCAGAAGTAGAAGTAGTGGAGGGGGAGGGGAGAGGGGAGGGAGAAGAAAGAAATATATAGATCTCTAAGAGGAGGAAGGGCCTTTGACTTCAGGTGCCTTTTTCTAAGATACGATTTTCGATTTTCGTTAAAAATACCAATGCCAGGCTGGGTTTGTGGCTCATGGTAGAGCCTCGGCTAGCATGTGCAAGGCCCTGGGTTCGATCCTCAGCACCACATAAAAATAAAATAAAGATATTGTGTCCATCTACACCTAAAAAATAAAATATTAAAAAAATACCAACGCCACTGGAAATCTCACCGTGAAACAGTGTGTCCCACATCATGCCTCATTGGTCCCCAAGCCCATTCCCCGAAGCCACCGCTTGGCTACTTGCAGGTAACCAAATCCGACGCTCTTACAGGCCTGCATCATCCACCCCAGCCCCCCACCTGGGCTGGGGATTGAACCCAGGGATGCTCTACCTCTAGGCTACACCCCCAGCCCTTTCTATTTTTTATTTTGAGACAGGGTCTCACTAGGTTGCCCAGGCTGGCCTTGAACTTGGTCCTCCGCCTCAGGCTCCGAGTCGCTGGGATTACAGGCATGTGTGCACCTTCTTAACAAACACAAAGAGGCTCTCCTTCTACAGGTGCAGGGTGGACTACCTTCTGCCAGCCCAGCCAGTGGCCTGATTGTGCTAACAGGCCCCACTCCTCCTGAGACCCACTGTTGGTCTCCCGGGCGGCATGTGCCAATCCTGCTGCCGCTGCCTTCTAGGCATTTCCCAGGTGCATGTGGGAGATCTGGAGAGAGCAGAGAAAATGCAGCCCAGGGCCCCACAGGCAGTGGCTCTGGAATCAGAGGGATCTGATGTGGGTCTTTCCCGACAGGAGGTCCAAGGCTCTTTGTGCCTCCGGGTTCTCATCTGTGAAATGGGGCTGTTGCTGCTGATGGCGGTAGTGACCCCTGCTGCAGAGGCTGCCTAAGGGTTTAACAAGTTAGTGGAAGGAAAGCTCCTAGCACAGCCGTGGCACAGAGTAGGTGCTCACAAAATGAGGATGATTACTAACGGGAGGCCAGGGCCACGGGCCTTCAACACAGACCTTTCTTCTTTGACTCACTGGCTGGTTAAGGTTTGAGCCCCCTCTTTCTTTTCCCCTCTAAAAATAAGGTCCCAAAGAACCACTTGTCTAAGCCACTAACACTCCTGTCCGCCGCCGAACAGAAAATGGGTCTCAGGACATGTCCTTCCTGCTGCATCCCCCACAAACGCAGGAGGCGAGAGGAGGAGCCCCAGAAGCCGAGCCCAGGGAGCGGGCAGAGGTGAGCAGGGCGCTCCCCTTTCTGTGCAGGCAATTGCTCATTCGTCCCCCATCCATCTGCTTGAGTGAGCCCCTGGGTGCCGGGCCCTGACCCCAAGAGGTGAGGAGGTGAATGTAACAGGCAGTCACAGTACATGGGGGTCACAGCACAGAGCAGGGACACCCAGCCAGTTTTTTAGGGGAGATTCTATGGAGGAGTATTAGAAACGGAGTGCTTGGGTTCCCCAGATTCATGTTGATTCCCCAGTACTCCATGTGTTGGTATTGAAATTGGGCCTTCGGGAGGTAATGAGGTTGAGATGAGGTCACGAGGGTGGGACCCCGTGATGGGATTAGTAGCCTCCTAAGAAGAGGGACCAGAGCTCTCTCTCCACTACATGAGGACACAGGGAGGAGGCAGCCAGGAAGAGAGCCCCCACCCAGGACTGAATCTGTGGCACCTTGAAGTCAGACTTCTCAGCCTCTAGAGCTGAGAGAGCTAAAGGTCTGATGTTCAAGCCCCCTAACGTATGGCATTTTGCTTTAGCTGCCTGAGCTGACAAGACCCGGGACAAGCAGGGCCAGAGGTCATGGCAGAGTAGGAGGAGGGCCCTTGAGGACACTCTCACACAATAGGAGGTGCTGGCAAATGTCACTGAGGAACTGTCTCTCACGTCTGCCCTGAGAGCCTGCATTTCCCTTCTGCCTGGGGCCCAGGCCGAGTCTCCCTGTGGGAGGGAGGCCGCAGGCCTTTCCACAACTCCACCTTCTCACGCAAGCTCTTTGTTTGGGCTTTCCCCATTTTCCCCATTGGTCATATCCTCTCTTTGTGGAGAATACATCAGGGACCCTGGGGCCACTTCCTCCCAGCCCACTGATGGACCTCTCCACTCTCACCCGCTGGGACCCAGGGAGGGCCTTGGGGTCCTCCGGGTGTGTGTGGTCAGCCAACAGGTTAGGAACCGGCTGGTGCTCAGCTTCTGAGAGCCACAAGGACTAGCCAGGCCAACAATGTCTCCCTGCAAGTTTCCAGGGATTGCCCAGACCCCACACCATCTTCTAGGAGGCCAGTGGAGGCATGGTGGTAGGAGCAGGAGGCAGAGCCTCTGAGGCTGCTGCACGCCCAGACTGAGGACAGTGGGGCAGCAGAGAGGGGACAGAGGACCAAAGTGAGGCCGGTGCACAGGGCTTGGGGCCTCACTTGACATGGATGGGTAAACAGGCCGAGTGTGTGGCACCGCTGCTCGGTCACACTGGAGCGTGGCAGACGGATGCTGCGGGGTGGGAAGCCCAGGTGCACACCTAGAGTCTGAGGTAGGAGGGTCGCCTGAGCCCAGGAGTTGGCAGCCTGGGCAACACAGCAAGACCCTTCTCAATAAAAGAAACCAAAGTTATAAGGACGGGTGCTTTGAAAGTACTGGAAAAGAACAGGAGCCCAGGATGAAGTCAGACGCCATGTTCCTGTCTCTACATCATCCCTCCATCCATCATTCATCCATCAATCCGTCCATCCAACCACCCATCTGTCCGTCCTTTCTCCTCCCACCCTCCCATGCACTTGTTCGTGATCTCTCATTTCCCAAGGATCTTCCCTGTCAGGCTCTAAAGTAGAACAAATGTCATCCTTTGTTTCTCCGAGAGCCATGTTCCCTCATTGTGCCACTGAATGACGTGTGACTGAAGGGTCCTCCTCTGTTCCCAGTCCAGGGCCGATAGAGGTCTGCAAATGTAGGGGATGTGTCACATGTGCCCACTCACCAGGGATGCTCGGTGACACACCTGGAGCAAAGAGGGAACGGAGGGGTGGGCCCTCAGTGCCCACAGTGCAGCTAGTGTTATAAGAGGCCTGGTGCTGGGCTCCCCTCCCCTGGCCACCAGGTTGAGGAGGGACGTCCAGGAAGCCTTCCCTGGTGCTTACCCCAAGAGCCCCACTCTGCTGCCCAGGAAGTGGCCCCTCCTTGTGCTCTCTTGCGAAAGGCTGGCACAAGAGTGGCCAGGATGTGAGGCAGGTCTGAGGGTCAAAGTGCTCCTTAGCCCTTGCCTTTGGCACAGACAAGGCACCACGGGGCCGTGGGAACAGGCTGGGCGTGGAGCAGGCTGGGTGTGGAGAGGCCGGGGAGAACCAGCTGGCCATGCTGGCTGGGGAGGCAGCTCACATGCCTCTGGGGCCACACAGAGGAAAGAGACACACCCATAAGCTGCCACATGGCACCTGGAGGCCCAGCTCTGCTGACCCACGCTCTGGACCAACTTGGCCTCTTGGCCTTCGCTCTCCACTGGCTGTGGCTGCTCAAACTCTCCTCGGCACAGGCCACCTACTGCCACCACCAAGCCTGGCTGAGGGTCCCCTGACACCTTCCCTGGCCTGACTGAGGTATAGAAAGGACCTTCTCATGATAATGAGGACCACGGCTGGCATTTATCAAACACTGCCCACATGCCAGACGCTGCTCAGTGGTCACACACCGGACTCCATAATGACCCAACGTCAGCTCTCTCGCCATCTCCACCTCCCCCTAGAAGGGCGAGCACACTGAGGACAGGGGACCTGTGCGAGTGTGTGAGACTGAGCCCGGAGCCCAGCAGCCACCACGACACTCACCTAGGGCAGCTTCACATTTCCAAAATGCTCTTAAGTCCCAAGAAACAGAGAAGATGGCCACCAACTGCAGGAGACAGCTAGGCCTCCACACCCTGCCTCCCCGGACCATGTGGATTCAACCAACTGCAGATCAAAAACATGTGCTTTTCACATTGCATCTGGACGGAGCAAGGACCGACGTCCTCCTGGTTGTTATTCCTTGAGCCGTACAGCGCGCCGGCTACTTACACAGCGCTTAGCCCTCAGCAGGGATCATGAGTAATCGAGAGGTGATCTAAAGTACACGGGAGGGCTCTCAGAGGTGATGGGAAAATATCACACCATTTTATACATTCATACGTTTTATACAAGGGGTTGACACCTGCAGATTTTGGTATCCAACGGGGGCCCTGGAACCAATTCTCTTGTGGACAACTGTGCAGAGAAGAAATTGGTCCAGGTGTGGGGCTGTGGCTCAGCGGTAGAGCGCTCGCCTAGCATGTGCGAGGCCCTGGGTTTGATCCTCAGCACCACATAAAAATAGATAAATAAAACAAAGGTTTTGTGTCCACTACAACTAGAAAAATAAAAAGTAAAATTAAAAAAAAACACACACACACAAGAAAGTGGTCTGGCTGGCCTGGCTGGCTCCCTCTGAGGCCCTCAGTGGGCTGAGGGGGGTGCCCATCCAGGGTCCTCTCCAGGTCTCACCTCAGAAGCCTTTAGTCCTTCCCCACCCAGAGCTCTGTCGCTCAGCCACTCCACAGCACCCTGGCCCCCAAGATGAGGGGTGCCTGGCTTTCCAGTCCCCAGGCTCTGGGTCCTTGTGTCCCTGGCCTCAGTCCCTCCTGTGAGGTGTCATCAGTTGGCTCTGCCTCTGGCAGCGTGGGAACGTTCTCCAGTGTCTCATCTGCCCCAAGGAAAACCCAAGGACACCGCCTGCCCTCACTCGGAGGGCCCCTAGGCCGAGGGCCAGAGCGGGTGAGGTGTGCCCTGAAAGTGGCTGCCCCCTGCCTGGGTCCTCAGCATAGCGCCCACTCCTGCCACAGTCACCAGACCCCTGAGAACACCTGTCCCCGAGGAAGGAGATCTTACTTATAAGCAACTCAGAGCAGAGGCAAGGGACATTTCTCTGCCCCAACCCATCAAGCTTTGCCACCAGCTCAGGCCACTGCTTTGCCTGGTGGGTACCTCAGGATGGCCAGGGAGCCCTACTGAGTGACCTGCAGAGCACTCGTCACTGCCCCTGCCCAGTTGCATGACCCTGCACCTTAGCTTTTATGGGTCCTGCTGCCCAAAGGCCCTTCCCACCCTTCCTTCCCTCATATCCTCCTCAGCCACGACCCAGAGCAGGGCCACCTCCTCCAGGCTGCCTTCCCGGAACCCTCTGAAGGCACTAAGTGCTCTCAGAGCCCCCACCACTGTGCACACTGCCATCCTGGCTCCCGTGCGTCACTCCTCTGTGGTCCCTGAGTCCCCTCCCCAGGGGCCACGTCTGACTCCTTATTCTTTCCCAGAACAAGCCTGGGCCAGGCCCCAGGAGGGGCTCACCAAACGCACTTCTGCTTTTAGCAAAACATGCCCTTTATTTCCTTTGAAAAAGTGGTGCATTGTTAATGTATTTATGAAGGTCTGGGCAGAAACGCAAACGGAGACTTTTCCATCCCTGGAGGGCGATTGTGGACTGTGCGACTTTGTCGGGTGGGGTTATGCCTTTGTGTTTGTGGAATCAGGAATCACGTGGCAGGCAGCCCCTGAGTGGCTGTGTGCGTGTGTGCGGTTTTGTTGTTTTGGTTTTGTTTTTTGCTTTTTTTCCAGTTCCAATTCAGGAAGTGTAAAGAAAGCCCAGAAGGTTCTCTGGGCCCCTGTGGAAGACCATCCTCCCTCCAAGTGTGAGTCCATCTGTCTGAGCCCCACATCCACCCCTCCCCTGGCATTCCCAGGAACTGGAAAATGTCTGAGTCACATCAAAAAAGCCCAGAGTCTGAAGTCAGAGAGACCTGGCCTCTAATCTCAGCTCTGCCTCTTCGCCGGGTGTCCTGGGAAGCCACTCCACCCCTTGGAGCCCTGGGTGCCTCCTCTGGAAAACAGGCACCACAACACCAAGTCCAAGGAGACGTCTGGATTAAACAGGCAGGAGAAAGAGGCAGAACCAGTGGGGAGACACAGGCAGAGGAAACAGGGAACAGAGAGGGCGCATGGCCGAGAAAAGAGGCAACAGCCATCTCTGGGATGAGGGGCCAGTCAGAAGTGAGGGGCGCATGGCCTCAGGCCCTGGCTGGCTGGAGACCTGTGACAGTCGCCCTTCCCATCTCAGCTGCTGTTCCCCAGGCTGGACGCTCCAGGAGCACCTTCCCCTCTGCAGACCATCCTCTCCCACGGCCTGGGAAACAGCCCCCCTACTCCGGGGGCCCCACGTGTGGTGGAAGGAGCAGCATCAACCTCACCTGGGGACTGGGGCATGCAAGTTCTCTGTCCGTCTCCGGCTCCTGAATGCGGAACCCTGAGGGCAGGCCCGGCCTCGGCAGCTCTGTTCCTAGAGGCTGGGCACCGCAACTCCATGCAAGCCCTGCCCCACCCACTGAATCAGCCAGGCTTCCCCAGCCCCTGCCTGGGTTTCCCGCTGCTGATTGTTGGGAAAGCAGATAGAGACCTGCTGGTGACTCCCAGGATTTTTGGACATTTCCTAATCTCTTCCTTTTAAGGGACAAGCCTGGAGAAGTGAAGCCACAAGCACAGTACAGGTGCGGGCGGCAGTTCAGGGGCAGCGCGGCCTGGCCCGGCCCAGGGAACACAGCCCACACTCCTGACGGGGGCCTGCGTCACAGGACTCTCCGTGGCAGGCGAGGCCACAGGCCAAGGCCAGGAGCTCTTCCTTGTCGGACGGGCATCTGTTCTTGAGACCTCTGCCTCTTGGCCTGCTTGGTCTCTCAGGGGGCTGAGCCACTGTCTGTCCTCCCCCCCAGGAAGTCTGTGGGTATGCGAGGCCCCCGAGTCTTCTGCTTTCGGGTCAAACACCCAGTGCCCTCCACTGTTTCTCGTGGTTCTGGCCTCCCGCCTGTCAGGAGCTCACAGGTGAAGTCCCATCTGACCCAGGCTTTGGCCCCAATTTCCCGTGGTCCAAATCCCCCTGCACATTCCCCACGTGGCTGCCCGATAGAGACAGACTCGTGGTCTTCATCCTGTAAGTCAGACCCATCAGAGTCTCTCCAGGAGGGCGGGACTCCTCTCTGCGAGGCAGGAGGACGGAACTGGATTCTGGAATCAAGGTCAGGCGGCAGGACCCGCCCAGGAGGGCCATGGAACTGAGGTCCAGCCCCGGGCCTGGCACAGCACTGCCAGCACCTCCTTCAGGGCTGGCCGCCCCTCGTGTTCTCCCACCTGCAGAGGAGATTCCAC